AGACATACCTCAATTAAACCAATACATGAAGGCACTATATTGGGAAAAGTATTCAAACTCTCAAAAAGGGTGAATCAACAGAACAGAAACTTTTTCATAGTGGTTTACAGCCATGATGTCCATTTCAGCTTCGCAGTGCGTGGTCGAATTTTGTTTAAACAATATAATTTAAAGGCGCTGTATACGTCACTGTAAGTCCCGTATCGAACATGATGCGCTGTGTCGACTGTGGCGGTTTAAAAGGAACGAAACATATGGTGCACACACGATTATATAGTGTGTTAACACGATCTACACACTTTTTTGTCACACGATCTACATTATATAGTGCCAGGTTACTTGTACGACCGATTTTTTATTACTGACATACAGACCCGTGTAAAAGCCGTCTACAGATAGCGCAGTAAAATAACACCCGAATCTATGATGCACACTTGATAGGAATATAATAGCAGTTCGGCCAGGAGGTCACCTGAATGTTGTGTGGGAGTGCTCCGCGGGCAGATAAAAACTGGATTATATAAGTTCAACGTTGATGACGCCTTTTGTTAAAAAAAGGTGTTTTCGCCAAAAACTGGTAAAAACTTAAAATTAGGGGGGTCATAAAGATCGTCTCGATCGTGAAAATTAATTCGAAATAGAGGCGCATACCCGTATACTTAATCTATTCATGCGAGTAGCATGCAGGCGAGATATTGCATTTGTGCAAGAATTTAAATCATAGAATCTTGTTGCTGGAAAATTCAAGAATAAAAATCAAACAAAAGTCGCATACACTGCCTAATATCTATCTGAATATCTATCTATCTGGAGTATAATTATGGATATTTTACGTCGATGTTAGTCAGCTTGGGACTTGAGTTTGGTTACTTGGAATCTTAATTTCTCAATTATAGTACGGAATATTCTACATTTATAATACACCACGTAAAAGTCGGATATGACCATAACCTCTGTTTTCATGAAGGTTTGATTTATTGGATAACTATCAGAGTTTGGGATCAATATTTGGCAGTAAGGAAGACGGGTCTGATTTATGCACGTCTCTAAAAAGTACTTGAAATCGGGTCCGACGTTTTGACTAATTTTCGATATTTTAGGTCGATAAGGTATGTTTTGCTAGTGATTAAATTAATTTGTTCGCAATTATACTTGACTTGGTTGTCGTTTATTACTATATTTTAATATTAATTTTCTTTTAATATTTTTTTTTGTTTCTTTTGTTTATTTTCAAATATTTTATTTTCGTTATATATTACATTGTAATTTCGTTTTTGCTATGTTTTCCTTTTTCGGAAATGTGACAAAATCAGAATGCTTATATACCCACAATTGGCTCAAAATGACCTCTTAACTGTTTCAAGGTGGCCGACAAGAAAGTGGGAAAAACTGTTAAACATATTACACTGTCATGCCTGTAGCCGGGGGGTGTCGGACGAACACACACCCGCCACCCCATCCTCACCCCCGCGAGCGCTCGAAAGTCGGTTTTATTAATGCACACTATTTTTTTAAAAGGCGAACTAATTTGTATGACCAGCGGAGCTGGAAGTACGAGAAAAATTGCTCACTTTGTCATAGAATAAAGATGGACCCTGCGGTTTGCAGTCGTTATTTCCCAGTCCGTATCATACCGGCGAAGATCACACAAAAAAATACAAATCAATTGACAGACACAGCCCACCGGATCTGAGCCCACGTAAGTAGGAGCGGCCCCTCCGTACCGAATTTCTGGATCCCCAGTGAACAAATCATTCTAAAATTTCCAACATCTGTTGATACTGACAACTTAGAAGCCAGCACCACACCTGCTTTACGACTTCACTTCCTAAATAAACTCCACCAGCTCAAAAACACAATAAACTTTCAGGGCAGTTTGCAGTAAGGAAATATGACCAGGAACACTATGGCTTGTCTCTCATTAATGCAAATCACCAGGTGCAGCATTATCGCTGATTGGCTACACGTACTGTCATTCATTTGGCCGGTGAATAAAATACTAGTATTGAAAGTATTAGAAGCTAATTAAAAATCTATAGTTGGCTGTGTGTGCGAATCATAATTGTGAAAGCAATGTGATCTGCAATACCATACCATATATACAAGAATCTGAATAGTAAACTGCATACAAGTTTATTAGATTCCATTACATGTGCTAGAAAATGATTTCATACATCCTGAAGAAATAAAAATGTGAATTGTTCTGGGCACCAATGTACCAAGTTTTATTCTTGAGATATAAATCTAAGAAGGGTTGTCGAGATACTGGTGAAACATCTTTGTAATAATATCCCGTTTTCTCCTGCATTCATTTCTCAGTATGTTCGATAAGCTTGTGTTTGCACTTGATATGGAGACTTTGAGAAATGTCAGATTCCTGTCTTTCAAGCTGCAGAGTAAAGGTTTTTTTAAGTTCTATTGTAAATTTTATGAACTGGTAAAAAATGCGACAAATTTGTTTTTTGTGGAAGGTCCCTTCATAAATTGTTTACTCAGATTGATATACGACAGGTGCTAATGGTATGGCAGGATATGATCACACTTTTGCAAATACCTGTTAACACTTTTTGGTCTTAATCTTGAGGTCCATATATTAATATTATGTGCTTTATTTTTATTGTGAATGCTTTGAAACTAATCATTTTCTCTTGTGTAGCACAATAATTTCTATACTACTTTACACATAATCCTATGTATGTGTTATTGTTATGTTTACTGTTTACTTTGTTGAAATCCCTATACAACTATTAATTTTGGTTTAATTGTTGGTATGTCAGGGCTCCTTATCACACATGTACATACTACAATAGACAGGGTAACCTCAAAAAATTTCATTGTATTTCCATTGATTTTTTTAGCACTAAAATGGCCACCTTGAAATGGACCATGACGATATAAGATGCATGTGCGAAGTTAGAATAATAATCGATTTGAGATATAAGTGTAGAAAGATTCACATATACATGTAGATGCACAGCTACATGGAGGTGAAATTATAAGTTGCAGGACTCTATCCGACTGGAGACAAAGAAAGCAGACAAATACAATATCACATGCAAGTACCCCTTTATTCAGTATAAAAGTTTCCATATTATTATGACACAAATGATACGTCTGCACATACTTTAGTACAAAAGCTTCATTACAGAAATGTCCTCTAATGTGACATTTTTATGTGAAAGAAAGTGTTATGTCAAATGACATTTCACACTTTTAGACTAACACTGGCTATCTCTATTCTTCATTATGCAGCTTTCAAGGTAAGTCATGTCTGCAAAGAATTTATACATCAGTTTCCCCAAAAACAAATGAAAATAAAACAAACTATTCCATATTTGGCATCATCATCAGCATAAAGATAAACTTCAAGACAAGATGTATTTTTTTCATATATATTAAATGAGTAAATTCTTGGAAACTTTTAAAGTCCTACATGTAACACGATTAAACAAAAACTTCTTGAATTTCTAGAAATTACAACCATCCACAAGTCAAGATAGCAACTCAAAATCTACGTAATAAATGAATGCAGGTATGTATGAGAAATATTAGATATAAATAGCTTTGGATTGAATGAGTACAATCAGAAAGGGTAGTACATCTACACTATAAAACATAGTGGGAGACTACTTGGTGTACTAAACTGCTATATGAACAATGCATCTTCAATCCATAAAACTACATGTATGACGCTACTCAGTGTCAAAATTCCCAGGTAAGCCCAAGTATATATTCCAACATTATAGTATAAATGTAAAATACATGCTTGAAATATTGTACTCTTAAACTTATTGTCAGGTATCTTATCAGTTTACGGTGCATTGAATTTATTACACTGTTAAATTGTAATATTCGTAGCTGAATGAAATTAAATACAAAGATCTAGTCTAATGCAAAGCTTGACAACCCCCAACCAATATAGATAAACATTTGGTAGTACATTGTATATATGTTTTTATGAGGTGTTTTAAAAAAAATATGCAAATCTCTCGACTCAGTTTTCAGGCGAGTTCATTAACAATTGAATTTCAAATTTACAGAGAACAGTAGTTTATACAATTTTGTGCTGCACTGGGCTAACTGACTTAAGGATAAGATTAATGTACTGATTCAAAAAAAATGAAGATTATCCATTTTGATAACAGAACAATCTGAAAAGGTGCATCTGGGGGACATCATGGCTGAAGAAAGTTTCAGGTGGTTTGTTCTAAACTGAAAACTAAATGACCTTCATTAGAATACAGTAAATGACAAAAAATAAATGTTGTGTCATTGGGAAATCTATCAGGAAACAAGTCACATTAGGCGCTAAGGCAAAATTATTTTATCAAATACAGACATTTTGCTTAAAAATTTACTTTTATAATTCTCTAGCACACGCTTTATAGATCCTGAACAAGTAAATTCTGAAGTAACTCATCCCGAGTTTTGATCATAAAATCATTTCAACTGGAAGTTAAGTCTTTGAGTGACATTGATCATATTTGTGAAATGTGGTATTAACAAAAGTTTTTCTTCCTATCAACACAACAAAGCACAAATGTTGTACAAGTCTGAATCCAATTTGTCCATGTATTATCAAGAAATCCTTCTGCTTGCTTTGTTTTAAGGCTTCGTGACTTGATACAACATACATGTTCAGTGCAGCGCAGCTTTCGTGTAATTCTTCATTATTTGCTTGTGCATTGCTTGTGTATGGATGCATATTCATCGCCATCCCATCTCACAAGCATCAACAATTTTAAGTAGGAAAAACGCCAAACATCAATCTCTAACATCAGGATATTATGGCTCAAGTCAATGAGGTAATTTCTTTTAAAAAATTATTGAGATAAAAGTGGGATGCAAACGATATAGTTGGGCGATCTCAATATATAATGTGCAGTACAGAGCATAAACTGTACTGTAGCAATCTCAAATGATTGCAATCGTTTTACAAGATGACATCCTCCCCTTCCAGCAAAGTAAGCTATAACAGTCTAATCATTTTCTATCTGGAATTGCAATAGTGTAAAATTATTTTATTATACCGTAAAAGTACATTGTAATTGTTATAAATGATATGTTCTTTTGATCAGCAAAAAGTATATACTGGGTAGTTATTCGTTCCTCTTTGGTTTGTGTGTACACAATTCAAATATAATTTATTACAACTGGACCAGAAAATAAAGCTGATGGTTGCAAACCAAAATGATTAAAATACACATACTGATTATGTTGTTACCTTTCAGTGAACTCGCTAGCAACAAAAAAAATCCAAACAGAAATATTCACCTTGGGAGACTCCCCTTGCAGTAAGTTCAGTCAGAGAAGAGCTGTATTGAATTCTTTGGACTATTATGCGACATATTTGATTGCCTGAATTTGTATGCCTTGTCCGCAGGTAATTTAGAACAGAAGTGAATCCAAATTCATTGGTACACTATTCAAAATTGCTAGCAAAAGAAATTCGGACACAATCATATAGAAAGTCAAAACGATCAGAGCATTTAAGTATGCTGCAAAGCATTGAAATGCAAAAATTTATTCCAGGTTTCCTATACTTCATGCGAATTCAGACGAAATATTTCACACAATAGTCCCGAACCAAAATAAATGAATGCATGCGATATAATCGATCCCTGACTGTATGCCATTGATTGAAGTATATACATGTATGCAGGCTAAACTTCACAGAGGCATAAAATGCAAATGCCTTTGTGCCCTAAATGCAAATGCCTTAGTGCCCTCGGGTAAGGGAATTTTTAAAAATTTGACCTTGACACTCGGTCTCCTTTCGGTGTATGATTACAAGCATTTCTATGTCCCAATGTGCCTCTTCAAACAAAATTTTTTTCATTTTTAGTATTTAGCATTCATAGCATTCAGAATAAAAAAAAATACTTGAGTTTTTTAAAAAAAAGTATCACGTATATTTTCAACAACTACAGAGAAACAAATCATGTTGCTTCGACAAGAACTACATCCAGTGTAAAGGAAAAGATGATGGTTACTAATGAGTTTGGTAAACAATGACATGTACAATACTAAAATCAGTCAAACATCAAACTAGGAAAAGATATCATAAATATTTATCTTAAAACTATCTTAAACAGGTGACCAGAATCCAGTTACACCTGTCTAATAATTGATCACCAAAAAAATGAGAATATATATTAAGCAATTGCTAAGTGTACATGTATCTAACCTTGTAAACGATCATTCAGATACAAAAAAAATTCTGGGTGTCCAAACAAGTGAACATCACGATTCTACAAATCTCTTCAAAAGAAAATGAAAAACATTGCATTTCTACTCATATGTGCTGACGGTAGTGAAGGTATGAAACAGATATAGGAAATATTTAAAATTAAATTAAAAATTTAGGAACATCCCGATCAAAAATGAATTGTGTCAAGTGATATTGCTCTGTATTTTGCAGTGTGAAACCAATTTGATACACAGTACTGAAGTTGTAATACTAACAGAAACTTTTGTTATATTATAACAAAAACAAAATGAAGAAGCAAAAAAAAAAGAATTTTACAAAATAAGCCTCAAAAAACGTTTAATCAGTTTAAAGATTTAAAAGAATAGGGTCAATGTTATCGGTAGTGTACAAGTGCCTACTTTGCCTTATTCTCACACTAACAACAGAGACCATGGTGACAGGAGTGCAAACAAAAATTTAACGAAGGTACCAGTTTAGACAGATTTTACTTTAATACAGCAATCTTCATGGTACAATAATAAAATAATCAGCAATCACATTGCTATAGCTACGGTACTATCTATTGTTCCCTCTACAAAGAAATGTGATGCATATAGGCAGATTTTCCTTCCTCACACAATCTGTGTGTTCAACGGTGGCATCTTCATAGGCAAGTAACATATATATATATTTCTTCTCCAATAACGGAACACAGGATTAAATAAAAATCTTGATGAGAATGCTCGGCAACCATGTTAGTCCTTTTTCATTTGCAGTCGATACTTTCATCATGGATAAATTTTGCAGCATTTCAATTGAAGCATATAGTTATAGGAAACCAATCACACAAACATATATATATATATATTATATACACAACACAAAAAGCATTTACTATGATGTTGTTTTTGTCCGTTGCCAATCCACAAATTCATCTAGCATGACAGGCCCTGTGAATAGAAAAGTAACAGTGCATTCAGGGTCCGTTTTCTAATGTGTTAACAAAACTTTTGCATAATTAGTGTAATGCTCATTCTTACTTTAAACAAGACATAAATGTCAGTCGCCATGTATGAATCAGCATTTAAGAAATGCAATTATATTAGCCAGGGGTTTTTCTAGAAAAAAATGTCAGGAGGGAGTACACCTTCGTTAGCAAAGAATATCTTCATTTATATACATTTATACATCCATCTTCAGTAATAGCTAAAGTCGGTCTGCTATTACAGCTAGAGTAGCATCAATCCTCCCATTGCTTGTGCTATGACAATCAATACAAGACATTCATGATATAATCTAATATGACTGACACTCACATAACAGACATGATACATATTGTAACAGAATTTTAATTATTAATGCAGAATTAGTTTATAGACAATATCAATAATTTTGAAAATAAAATTTGTCAAAAGCTGTTGCTCACACAAATAAAGTACCATGATAGAGACAGTGTATTTTTTGAGATAGAATATGTAGAAACCAGGTTTTATGTTTCACAATTTAATATTCATTATTTGAGTGAATGTTTAATTGTGAAAATCATGAAAATTTATTGCATGTAAATTTCTCTTAGAGCTACAACATAGAGACTTAGTGACTTTGTTTACACAATTGCTGTACAATCCTGAAATCACAGTTTACAGGCATTATCTTATAACTCTGTATTATATAAGTTACAACTACTTACATGCACCGTCTTCATCATAATTACTAAGATCTGAGTTGATGGTTCTACTGAATTCTAAAATATTGCACCACTGATCCTTATTGATCACTCTATATTTGGATTGCTGTAGGAAAAACAAAGAGAAGACAATAAACTCCTCCCATTGGGCGAGAGAAATAATACGATTGGATTATGAGTTACAGCAAACCAACAATTATCACTTTCACCCCCAATGGCTGGACTACTGTAAAGAGGTTAATTATTCACTGGGTTTTAATATTCGCTGACTGAAAAATGAGCTAAATCAATACCCAGTCAGAGTGAATATGTAAAATTTAGCATAGAACACATTATCTAAATGATAAAACCGTGAACTTAAAACCAACTAAATATGCCTGAAATGGTAAATCAGCGAAATTTAAACCCAGTGAAATTTAGTCATTTTACAGTAATTTCAAACAAGTATTATTTTAAGTGAATGGTCATCTTAAAAACCCAAATCACATCACCCACAGAAATTGAACGAATTATAATAAATTAAACATCAGAAAAATAAATTACATATTAAATAAGCAGACTTAAATTTGTTTTCTTCCCATTTGCAAAGTAACTAAACATGGTAATTGGCTAAGCAAATAATGTAGTGCTAGTCTCTATTAGACACATTATTCTACCTCAGTGGAAGACCTGACTTTTGTCTTTTTTGTGTGTTTTTTTTTTGATAATTTATTTCTTGAGTTCAGCAAAAATGTAGAGCACTACTGAAAGCACTCTTTGAGTTTGATATTCATTTAAATGTGGTAGCACCATTGTGATTTACTTGTTCTATCAATTTTTGGGCAGAATACAATGGAGGTCACAATGTGCGTTCCTCAAGATCAATATCTGCAGCTTACCTCAAGAAATTGGTGAAAGCTAGAAAAAAGCGTCCAATGTTTTCCTAAAAGTAGTGATAACATTATTTTGGCTGTGTCTATGTCCATACTCCGTTGATCTTTATCCTAAATTAGAAATAATATTAGCATTAAAAATGACATAAAACCTATAGTAAGCAACGCTCAGCATGAATTTGACCGTAGTATGCACCCATACGAGTGTATATCAAGTGTCATACCTGCTGTCGCTTATGTGATAAGTAATAATATTTGCATTCTGTATGGCCATACAAAGCCTTGTACATGTATTCCAGAACATTATAATAACAGTAGACAGAGACAGAGAATAGATTCACATACTTACTCTCGCAAAGTCATAAGCGTATCTATAAATTTGTTTGAATAATACTGGGTCATTTAAAAGTGAACGTAAGTATTCTAGCTTGGCTTGAATTTTGACAATAGAATCAACTCTGAAAAAAGTAAAATAAGTAAAACATATTATTCCTGATACATGTAATATTAATTTAATAAACATCTGACAAAGAAAGAATCTATAATGTGTAACCGGATAGATTCAAATAAAATTGTTCTGCTGGGCAATTGGTGAAGGGGATAAAATAGGATTTATTTTGATCACAGACACACCTTTGTCTGTCTCAGTATTTAATTTACTTCCATACTCACTGTAATGAGGTCATTCCTTTCATCCACTCGTCTGCTGTGAAGAAACCCATCTGTTTTGCATCTAGCTTCCACGCTATCACCAACATAACTATATTTTCTGGCTCTACTCCAATATCCTCACAAAATTTTTCCATGCCTTCAGGTCCTAAAAAATTGTCAGTATCGCCGCAAAACTCTTGAAACCACATGCGGCATCTTTTTATAGAAAAGGGTTCTTTCAATGGATCCATAGTGGTACCTCTTCTTCTAGAGCCACTGTAAAATAGAAGTGAACAAGTCATGGCATTACATTGAAAGGCTATATCCAAAGAAATATATATATATCTTCAGGTGTAAGACAGTAGATACAAGACATCCATGTCCATAACCTATTATGACTGACACTCTCTGACAAATATAATAAAATGTTGGTGTTGAATGAAATTGGTAAAGACAAGTCAGAGATACAGCCCTGAAAAAGCATTCGTTAAAAGTAAAACAATATCTGCTAGGGGAAAAAAATAATATGCATCAAGGTTTCATCACGGTCAATGCATGTACTGAATTTGAATGAAATATGGCCTATGCATGATCCGGACCCAGTTCCAGAATTGCTGGATTTTGAATGCATTTTTAAGATTAAAATTGCTGCCATTCAACCAACTTGAATTTGGTCATGAAATGAGTGCATATGCTTATGAATGATGCCATGTTTGATGTGCATGTAAAGATTAAATGTAATTCGAAATGCAAATTAGATATTTAATATTCACAAATCTCAACCAAAAAGTAATCACATATTATCACAAAGCATCTGTGTATCTTGTTTATATTAAAATATGATAACGCTTCTTGACGTCTTACAGGAATAACTAATTACTGGCTATTTATCATGCAAATTAGGTAATTAATATGCAGAGACTTCCATAATATTCTGGTCTGTGCATTACCCCAATGCATTTATATATCAAGTTTTATTGAAATATATTGAATGGTTCTTGAGAAATCAGTGGAACAGCTGAAAACTGGCTCATTATTATGCAAAAAAGGAATCATTAATATGCAAGCTAGTCAACCCAAAACTAATCAGGTCTGCACATTATTCAAGAGTGACTATATATATTAAGTTTCATCAAAATCCAAAAAGAGGTTCTTGAAAAACTGGTGGAGCTGATGTGTACATTTTCTGACATGTACAAACACATTATCCATTGTATATTGTGCATTACCTTGTGTCTCTTCTACTCTTTTTAGATATAACTGTATTTTGCTCTTCTGAAGGTTTTCTTTTTCTTCTAGGAGGCATACTGGCTGCTAGGGGCGAAAGAATTTCAGCTGAGGAATAAGACGGCTCTGTCTTCACACCTGTCCCAATGTTCTAGGAGGAAAAAAAAAACATTTTAAATTTGGTAAAATGTGAAACTCGCACACACAACATACTCACATCTGTCTAAAACTTGCTCATCCCACAGAAATTGTGGATAAATGCTCACCCTCGCCTTTAGACCACCACAATATTCATGATGCCAAGCAACAATACAAGCAAACTTTATGATCACCCATAATTTCATCATACATGTACATTTAAAGTACAACATATAGGACATGGCAGTATGACCCCCCCCCCCCCCCTTGCCCCAACCTTCTTCATATTGACTCACACCACTAAGTAAAAGGCATGACAAGATGAGCTCTTTATTCTATAGCACATAATGAAAATATAGTTATGACTATTTATTGATTTGATAAAAAAAAAATATATTATGGAATTTACAGTCAAATATAGCTACATGTAACAGTATTGTGATATGCAAATAAGAATGCAGTAAACAAACCCTCTGCCATTCTGTTACAAACTGTATCATCATTCACAGAATAGTGAAAAAAATATATTTTTTGGTTAACTGAGAATATTAACAGGGTTTTAATTTAGTGCATTTACATGTAGCTAACATTGCAATAAGTGAAAATAAAACCAGGTAAATAAATTAAGCCCTGCAGTGTTTGTTAGTAGGATATGGATTACTTTTAAACACATACTATTCTCAGTATAAATGCACTTTCCATTTGCAAATTTATACACTGCTAATGTTAGCGAAATTTGTGACAGGTATTTCTATCATCAACATACCGTGGAACTGCATGTATCTCTGATATGCAACTTTTGATTTAAAGAATGTGATATTTACATTTTTCTGTAACATTATTATGTTTATAACTGCGAACTGTCTGCATGATATCACATAATGTCTATGAATATTACAGATGGGGAGCATGGACATTCATCAATAATGCTGACACATGGTCATTCAAAACAGGTGCCACCCCTCCTCCCAAAATGATTTTTTTTTTTGCAAACAAAAATGATAGTCTGTATATTGTCAAGAACTATGAAATTCCTGTCAAATTGTATGCTGTAGATGTCCAACCAAACTATTTTGAAGATGTTTTCACGTTCTTATGTTTCACTTTTACTGGGGAAGGGCCATTGCCATAAACATCCGGCTGATAGGTACTTATGGAGACGACCACAAAATATTGCTTACCAGGTTTCATGTGCTTTTCATGAATACAATGGAAAGTGATTCATAATTTTGGGGGAAGGGAGGTATTCACATGTAATAACTGGAAACACATAATATATTTTGTTTGACCTAATGTTAATGGAAAAACAAATTCACTGATTCAGCTTCAAACATTTTGTTGAAAGCTATTCCTAGGCTGTATTCATGTTTCCTGTCTGCAATTTTGTTTATATAGGGCACTTTTGTTTTCAGGAAGTAAAATTCATACTTATTATTTTTATAGAAGAATTGTTTTAAACCATATCAAACTATATATATTATGAAAGCTTATAATTCAAACTAATCAAAAATGTAAGATGCAACTTTCATGTGGTCATGTGACTGCTACGTAAATAAAACCTCAAACAAGTACTGTGAAGAAACTAAAATGGGATACAACATGTACCACCATTTTGTTTCTTGAAAAATGTAGAATAGAAAATGAGAAACACAAGTCACAGTGATTTTTTGATTTTGTTTCACATTTTTACCAGTGATGTCAGAATAGTGGAGTTGCTGCATTGAAATCATCTTCTGTGACCAATGATTTAATCTCAAGTCAAATGTGCATGACTGGCAGTTATCTAAAGATGTTCTAACATTATTTCATACTTGACAGTGTGATTTAATTAATTATTTAAAATTTTTATAAAATGTTTATTTTGATTAACATGTGACCCCAACAAATCTACTACATTATGAATAATACTCTGTCCATTTCTTTTTCCACTACTGCCATTGACTGTAGTTTAAGTTCAATTAAACATTATGATCTCAGGTTAATTAACAACAATTAGCAATCAAAAATAAATAAAAAATCATATTCTTACCAGATGTGTGAATGAGCAATAGAGAGGCTGGTACGGTCGATCCAGGATGGCAGATACACGTACCTACAAAAATTATGAAATTAAGGCGATCGGTGCGTCAGCAAACGAAATTCAACACTAGGAGAGAAAAATCATTCATATTTCGGCGTTAAACTTCTTCATTACCACGATAAATGGCAATTACACACACCCTTCACAGATGTAAAGATGTCAATGTCATGATGACATTCCCGTTGAATTCATAATGCATACAACAGCCTTGATACAACCGAATAGGCTTTTGTTTGGCAGCCTGTTGTATTGCCAAAAGTGTACATACTGACGTAGGAGTGAAAAATTTGAAGAATACCTTATGGCAAACAACCCATGTAGACGGTGGTCACCGCACGTACTCGATAACATGACATGCGATCAACATTGGCGAGGCGGAGAGACTCGGGTGAACTATGGCGCATGTCGCGTCGATCACATCGCTCGTGCGAACAATGCGTTGGCTGCTCGCAAGCTTGACAGAAACATTTTCAACGAATGGTCGGTTTATAAATTGCATATTTAGCAAAAGACCATTACTGATGACTGTACTAATTATGAGAGCAAATGAACGACTACGACATTGTCCATATCTACAAGTATCACCCCATTTTTCACAATTGAATGCATGTCAACAGAAAATCTATTTCCATTCTAAATCAAATGGACAAATGGCGTCGGTTATCGGCATCGGAAGAAGGCCGTCAAATCCATCGATTTCATTCAAGAAAAACACTACTCCGGTTCAAAAATGCTCCCATTTGGTTTAAACACTACTTACATAAAAACGAAGGATAGGAAATAACTGTGACCAATAAAAAATCTGCCGAATCGACAAACTTTTACAATTTCGTCAAAAGATCCGCCATATTGACCTAGCACATGCGCAAAACGTAAACAGAGTTGATTTGTAAGAACTTCTATGATTGGTTTTTATTTTCACGTGCGTGTCACGTGCATAACGCCACCCAATCAATCAGCTCCTTACAGATCTCGAGGGCATTGACCAGACATTCCTCAGGTCAAAATAGGAAAGCCGGGTTGTTATCAAATTCGTGCATGATAACCATAGAGATTTGGCAAGTCTCACGGTTTACAACGCAATTTGGACATAATTTGCAGAGTTTTCACTGTGGACTTTGAAATAATAGAGGTAAGGGCAAAACCGAATCGTCGAAATCGTTTTCACAACATTTTGTGCCTGTATTTCGAGATGATTTCAAAAGTGTGTCCGACAGAACGGGACGGCATTTTGTCTCACACCTGATAATACATCCGTTGTCATGGAAATGTTAAACATTTAATTTTTCATAAACAAGGGGCAACCAACGACACATTATTCGAAGATGAACTTGAGAATAATTTTTTACTCTTTACACTTTTATATAACAGTAACGTTCGTGGAAGGAAATTGTTGTTGAAATTCATAACAAATTCATAAACCATTTCATACAATGACTGATATTATTATTATTAAACCATTTCTCCTGCATGGGCGATCTTCTCGGTGCTAATATTCCAATATTTAATTAATAAAGTCTCGATATATACCAAAACTTCCAACAGACATTCTCATCTGGGATCTAGCCTGATGTTCGTGATGAATGGTCATGAGTCAACCAGCTTCGACACTTTTTGCTTTATGTTATTTTGTGCTTGATTTTACATTCCTGTATTTGTGCCTATAGAAAGACACTACTTAATTTAAATGCCAACGAGCAGACAATGACACGACAATAGTTACTGTTACAGACTGACTCTCTGACTTACAATCGCATTACTTTGATGTGCTATTTTATGTTCACTTATACCTTTTAATTTGGGAATTTTAAATCATAAATTTATGAAAGAAATATATGAACTCCAAGATTATGAAACAAAAAGTGCAAAACTTGTGATAAAATGATAGAATGTGAGGAAGAAAACAAAACAAAACAAAAAATAGAACATTGCTCATTGTGTAAAACAAATCATGGCAGACAACCAGTTTATTGCCAGATTAAGGAAAACCATTGCAAAATTATTTTCATGTTTCATGTCACTTTTGTCGCTTTGGTCTATTCTCTCAGGGTGTGAACACCACGCCGGCAACATGCCTGCCGGGGACTCTAGGAAGGAGTTTATCCTGACAACAATCGGCAATTATTTTGGTATTCAGTCTTCTGACTCTACAATATCGCAGTCATTTGACTCAGAAGAGTTAAATAATTTTTTGGATGATGGTAACTGTGGCGTTCTGTCTGTCCGACTGGAAACTCATGGAGGAACTAGAAGACTTCAACTTCTCAATAAGGTATGCATTCTGTATTAATCTGTAAATGTCTATAGTTAATCCATCGTATCAGCTGATTTGATGTGCTGCTCAACAACTGTCCTCATGAGGACAAGGACAAATTTAAAATTATTACTAATTTTTGAAATTTTGTCTAGTGAAAGGCACCATCAAATAATAAAGAGCAAATAAAAACCCAAACTTGTTTTCTGCAAATAATGAATTTGTGATTCCTCTATAGCATTGAGCCCCTTTTTAAAAATCATACAATCAGGATTATTAATTCAAAAATTAGTTAAAGAGTACCCCAGTTTTCTTTAAACTTACAAATATAATAATTTAGCAAAGTTTTAGGAGATTCATGGGTCAAAAGTATCATACCATATCCATCCTTAAAACACCATCTTTTCTTTTAATGATAGAATGCTACTTGTGCTTTTTTTTTTACATGTTTTGTCAAATTCAATCCTTCTAGTATTAGCCAACATTATATTGACTTTTTCCCTCTCTGTTAATCATTTAGTGAGTAAAACTGTCAAATAATATTTATGAATTAGCAATTTAGAAGCAGTTTTCATATACCACAATGGGCCATTCCAGTTTATATCTGCGCACCCCCCCCCCCCCCCGCCCCGTTGATTTGATGTGGTCGGATTTCCAGCACTGTATGATGGGGAAAATACCCCGGAATTCCAACTGTATATGAAGAAACAGAATCTGGAAATCCAGACGAGTATGAAAAAAAAATTCCTGGAAATCCAGGCAGTTATGGCTACTAAATAAAA